ATCCATCCATCCCTCGCAGTGGGGTCTTCTGACCTCCTCATATCAGACTCTTTCCCGTGGGAGCCCTCGGCGCATGGCGCATACCACTACCACTGACGGACAGACCCAGTAGCCACGACCTGGTCTCGGGGTGCTCCAAAGTCCATCCCCACCATCAGGGGCCCTGGAGAACAAGCAATCTGGGACTTAGATTCCGTGCGCTGGGGACGTCTATTCAGTGGAGTGCTAGTGGTACCGCCGGGCGGTCCCTTACAGGCAGACAGGTCTGGAGTAGAGTAGCAGCTAACCCGTGCGGGTCAGATGGATGGCTGAGCAAAATAGCGTGGTCAAACGGGCCAGGTCGGTAACAGAGGGGTCAGCGTGGTACAAGTCAGAAGGCAGAAGAATAGTCAGGTCACTCGCCGGGGTCGGTACCAGTAGTTCAGATCAGGTAGGGATATCCAAAAGAGAGAGGTCAAACTTAGCCAGGGGTCAGAGCAAGAGAAGTCAGCATAGGTCAGGTCCAGGCACGTCAGCAACGAATCTCAAACAACAGGAACACAGGAACCAGATCAGACCATACGGCAACTTGTGTCTGTGCAGGGCTGATTTAAGTAGCCCGCCCTGCACCTGACAGGTGCAGCCTAGGTCCTAGTGCCTGCCCAGCACCATCATAGGCGACGGGTGCGCCTGGGTCCTAGTGCCCTGATGCCTGCATGTCTTGACAGACACCTAAGCATGTGCAGACCCATGCATCGCGATGGTCCCTGACATTGCCCCCCCCCCCTATGGGCATCCTCCGGGTGCCCAACTGATCTCTCCTCCGTGGATGGCTACGATGGAACTCCCGGACAAGTCTAGGGGCGTGAACATTTTGAGCCGGCTCCCAGGAATTTTCCTCAGGGCCGTAGCCCTTCCATTTTATCAGGAACTGTGTCTGGCCGCCCCTCTTCCTGCAATCCAAGATTGATTCTACCTCAAATTCCTCCTGTTCGTTGATGGTTATGGCTTCCGGGGGTTTGGATTTTCGATCAGGGAAAGGATCCGGTACTGCTGGCTTTAGTAGCGAGACATGCAACACTGGGTGAATCTTCCAGGTCCCTGGTAACGAAAGTTCATATGCCACCTCGTTAATCTTTCGTTTGACCCGAAATGGGCCCATAAACTTGGCCCCAATTTCCTCGAAGGACAAGACAACTTTAAGTTGGTAGTTGCCAGCCAGACCTGATCCCCTGGTTTCAAGATCAGTTCCCCTCTTCTTTTCCTGTCAAAAGCCCTCTTACTGTCTTCTTGGGCCTTAATGATTGCTTCTTGAAGCACCTTGTTATTGGCAGAAAAAAAAACTCAGCATATCCTGCGTGGCAGGAACTGGATCTTCAGGAATTAGGTCAGGCAAGAATGTGGGGTGGAACCCATAATTCGCAAAGAATGCGGATTGCCCCGTTGCGGAGTGATTCGAGTTGTTGTACGCGAATTCAGCCAATGGCAAGAGTGTCAACCAATCGTCCTGGAGGAAGGATGTATATAACATCTCAAGTACTGCTCAAGTGTCTGATTTGTCCTCTCTGTCTGCCCATTGGTCTGTGGGTGGTAGGCAGACGAAAATGATAGTTCAATACCCAGAATCTCACATAACGCCTTCCAAAACTTCGAGGTAAACTGGACCCCACGGTCAGAAATGATGTCTTCTGGAATCCCGTGAAGCCTTACTATTTCCTTCACGAAAATCTTCGCTGTTTCCAGGGCCGAGGGCATGCCGCTTAGTGGCAAGAAATGGGCCATCTTTGATAGACGATCAACAACCACAAAAATTGCTGAATGGTTTTGAGATGGGGGAAGCTCCACTATGAAATCCATAGCAATCATCTGCCATGGCCGACTCGGTATAGGTAAAGGTCGTAGTAAAAACCCAGGCCTTACTTCTGGTGGGCTTGTTCCTCTGACAGATGGCGCAGGACTTTACATACTGCTCACAATCTTTAACCATGCTCGGCCACCAGAAGGTGCGCTGGAGCAACTCTAGGTCTTGGTGATTCCAAAATGGCCCGCTAATGGATGATCATGACAATATCCTAGAACTGAAGTTCGGACTTCCTCGGGTACCACAACTCGCCCTTCCTTCCAAAGGAGACCCTCCTTGTTCTGTAGAGAAACCTCGGGTGAGCTTGCCATTTCCACGGTTGCAGACTGAAGCCTAGAGCGGAGCTCCGTTTGGAGGGCAAGAAAGTTCCCAGGGGACAGAATCGTGTCGGGGTTTAGTGGTTTCTTCTGGATCCTCAAACATTCAGGAGAGGGCGTCCGGTTTGGTGTTCTTGGACCGGGCCTATACGTGATGTGGAACACGAATCGGGAAAAGAAAAGTGCCCATCTAGCTTGGCGTGGTCTCAGGCGTTTGGCTGTCCTCAAGTATTCCAAATTCTTGTGGTCTGTAAAGATTAGTATTGGATGTGTGGCCCCCTCCCAGCAGATACCTCCATTCCTCTAGTGCCGTTTTAATGGCCAAGAGTTCCCGGTCACCGATATCGTAATTTCTTTCGGTGGATGTAAGTTTTCCTAGAAAAGAATGCCACTGGGTGCATGAGCTCCTTGGTCCCTTTCCTCTGGGACAGGATGGCCCCTACCGCGTTCTCAGACGCATCGACCTCCAGGATGTAGGGAAGTGAGGAATCAGGATGATTCAGAATGGGGGCTGTAGTGAACAGTTTCTTCAGGGTCTCGAATGCGGACTGTGCCTCGGGCTTCCACTGAAAACGTACCCTTGTTTGGTAAGCTGGGTGATTGGGGACACAAGGCCTGAGAAGTTCCTGATAAATTTCCGATAGAAATTTGCAAACCCAATGAAGCATTGTACGCCCTTTTTGTCCGTGGGCACCGGCCATTCAAGAATTGCCGAAACTTTTTGAGGATCCATCGCAACCCCCCGTGGTGGAGATAATCAGCCCCAGAAATGCAATACTGTGCTGCTCAAAACTGCATTTGTCCGCCTTAGCGTACAACCCATGTTGGCGTAGACGCTCAACACACTTCTAACATGACCCCTATGGGACTCCAGGGAAGGCGAGAAAAATTAGAATATCTTCTAAGTAGACGACAACAAAAATGTCCAGGTAGTCCCTAAACACGTCATTGATGAAGTGCTGGAACGTGGCTGGGGCGTTACAAAGTCCGAAGGGAACATAACAAGGTACTCGAAGTGCCCAAATCGAGTACGAAACGCGGTCTTCCACTCATCCCCCTCTCTTATGCGGACCAGGTTATACGTGCCCCTCAAGTCTAACTTAGTAAACAGTACCGCTGACTTTAACCTCTGAAAAAGCTCTGGGACCAAAGGGAGGGGATAGCGGTTCTTAACCGTAATTTTATTTAAGTCCCGGGTAGTCTATGCATGGTTTTAAGGACTTGTCTTTCTTCTCCACTAAAAAGATTCCAGCACCGGCTGGCGAAAGTGGAGGGTCGAATGAACCCCTTCTGTAGGTTTTCATCTATGTACTCCTTGAGTACCCCAGTTCCGTTCTGACAAAGGGAATATCCGTCCAAACGGGATCTCAGATACGGGCAGAAGGTCAATGGGGCAGTCATAGGTCTGGTGGGGAGGAATAATGTCTGCCCCCCGCTTACTAAAGACATCTAAGAAGTCATGATAGGCCAGGGGAATAATTTGGACTAACTCGGTGTCTCCGTCTAAACATAGAAGGGGCTGGGGAGCCGAGGAAGTCGGGGCGTGACAGTGTTCCTGGCAGTAAGGTGACCGGAACTGGATGGTCCTGGTTTTCCAATCAATCTGGGGGTTGTGGGCCCGCAGCCACGGAAGTCCCAGAATGATTGGAAATAATGGGGACGCAATGGCGTCCAGTGGAGAAACTCCTGATGATGATTGGTCACTGTGGTGCAAATAGTGGGGTTTGCCAGTCTACTATCCCTGACTTAATGCGTGACCAGTCAGCTAAGAAAGATATTTAACCTTGATTCCCTGGTCTGGAGGGTGATTCTCTGTTGCGTGGCAAAATCCAAATCAATAAAAGAACTACATGCCCCAGAGTCAACAATTGCTGTTGCTGACACGGTTTCTCCTGGGAGCTGCAAGGAAACAGGCAACGCTAAGTAACTTAAATGACTAGCATGTGAAGCAGATACAGAGGAAAAAACAGTGTGGCACTTACTCATTTTTGCTGGGCAAGAACGAACCATGTGACCGGCTTCCCCACAATAGAGACACAGGTTATTCAACCCGTCGTCTCTGGCGTTCTTCCGCTGACAGAGATGGTCGTGTCATACCGAGCTGCATGGGTTCAGGGGTGTCATCATGTTCCATGCTCCGGTTCCCTCCAGGTAGGGGTTGAAGAGGAGCGCGAGAAAAGTACCCATGCAGGCCTCTGAGCCTGGTTGGACCTTTCTGCCCTGCGCTCACGTAGTCTGCGGTCAATTTGAATGGACAGGGTGATGAGGTTCTCCAATGAATCAGGAAGGCCCACCCTGGCCACTCATCTTTAAGGGACTCAGATAGACCCATCCGAAATTGGTGACGTAAGGCAGCGTCATTCCATTGGGTGTTCCCCATCCAGCATCTGAACTCAGCGGCGTATTCCTCCGCTGCCCGGAGGCCCTGCCTGAGGGCGTACAATGCGGTTTCTGCGGAGGCAGTGCAATGCGGGTCATCATATAAGACTGCCATCGCATTGAAAAACCCTGTTACCGTTTCCAGCCGGGGGTCCTGGGTTTCCATTAGTCGGTGGGCCCAGCCCTGGGGTTCATCCTGGAGCAGCGAGACGATGAACCCCACCTTCACTGACTCGGATGAAAATGTCTGTGGCTGTAACCTGAAGTACAGCAGACATGCGTTATGGAAGGCCCTGAATTTGGCCCGATTCCCATTAAAGCGTTCCGGCAAAGGCACACGGGGTTCCGGAGGGGACAGAGAGACCGTTGCCCCGGAAGGAGGTCCTGAAGGTTCTTCTGCTGTGGCAGGAGGGACTGGATTCTGGACTGCGGTGGCTGGTGCGGCCAGCGTCTGGACACGGCCCTCAAGGTGCGTGTACCCTTCTTGTAATACCTTGACAGCTTGAGATAGAGCCGACAGGTGCTGACAGATTTCCTCCAGCGGGGGTCAATCCTCTTGCAGGCTCCGTCATGGCCGTATGGTTCTGTTATGGACCACCTGGTGTACTCTAGCAGTCCCCAGGACAGGATTCCCCAGGGAGCGGAGTCTAAGCCCCAGTCCGCTTGTTCACCAGAACCCGATGGTGGGGGATGGGCTTGGAGCGGACAGTGACCAGGTCGCGGCCCCTGAGTATACCCACCTGAGGTAGAGGAATCACCAGAGGTAATGACAGGTAGAGAGCCTGACGTGAAGAGGCAGACAGGTCTGGAGAGTAGCAGCTAATCCGTGCAGGTCGGATGGATGGCTGAGCAATAGCGTGGTCAAACGGGCCAGGTCGGTAACAGAGGGGTCAGCGTGGTACAAGGCAGCAGGCAGAAGAATAGTCAGGTCACTCGCCGGGGTAGGTACCAGTAGTTCAGATCAGGTAGGGATATCCAAAAGAGAGGTCAAACTTAGCCAGGGGTCAGAGCAGGAAAAGTCAGCAGAGGTCAGGTCCAGGCAGGTCAGCAACAAATCTCAAACAACAGGAACACAGGAACCAGATCAGACCATACGGCAACTTGTGTCTGTGCAGGGCTGATTTAAGTAGCCCGCCCTGCACCTGACAGGTGCAGCCTAGGTCCTATAGTGCCTGCCCAGCACCGTCATAGGCGACGGGTGCGCCTGGGTCCTAGTGCCCTGATGCCTGCATGTCTTGACAGACACCTACGCATGTGCAGACCCATGCGTCGCGATGGTCCCTGACAACACGTTTTGTTTTTTTTTTTGTGAATGAGTAACGGTACCATGTACCTCATGCTGATTCACATGGGGGGGGGGGGGAATCAGGATTCCAGATTCCGATAAGCCCCCCCACCTGCAGACCCCCACAACCACTGGCGAGGGTTGTGGGGAAGAGGCCCCTTTCCCCATCAACATGGGACAAGGTGCTTTGGGGGGGGAGCTCCCCTGCCCCAAAGCACCCCCCCATGTGGAAGGCATGTGGCCCGGTATGGTTCGGGGGGGCGCTCGCTCGTCCCCCCCTTTCCTGACCTGCCGGGGGCAGGCTCAGATATGGGTCTGGTATGTATTTTGGGGGGATCCCACGCCATTTTTTTTTTTATTTTTTTTTATTTTGGCATGTGGCTTCCCCTCTAAATCCATACCAGACCCAAAGGGCTTGGTATGGATGGGAGGGGAGACCCCACGCCATTTTTTTTTTAATTGCCGGTAATTCTTTTACATTCAGCTGTCAGTGGGGAACCCTGCTGACAGCTGAAACATTAACACATGGTTGTCACTACTAAAATACTGCACGAGTTATTTTATCAAGTCCTTTTAGTAGTGAAAACCAATGCAGCGTTCATGTTTCAGCCTTCAGCGGAGTTCCCCACTAACAGCTGAATGTAAAAGAATTGCAGGCAATTAAAAAATAAAAAAACGGCGTGGGGTCCCCCCTCCCATCCACACAAAGCCCTTCAGGTCTGGTATGGATTTAGAGGGGAACTTCCATGCCAAAATTTGAAGAAGAAAAAAAAAAAATAAAAAATGGCGTGGGGTCTTCCCCAAAAACCATACCAGACCTTTATCCAAACATGCAGCCCGGTAGGTGAGAAAAGGGGACGAGCGAGCGGCCCCATACCAGGACACATGCCCTCAACTTGGGGGGGTGCTTCGGGTTGGCGGCTGCGTACATCGTGATTGACATTGGATCTACTTCGGGGGGCATTCTTTTAAATTTTTCTTTTAGTAAAGGACTTGTCAAAGACCGTGTCCTGTCTTTTTACACTACACTTTTTGTTTTTGGTACCATGTACCCCATACTCATTCACATAGGGGGGAGGCCGGGATCTGGGGATCCCCTTGTTAAAGGGGGCTTCCAGATTCCAATAAGTCCCCTGCCCGCAGTCCCCCACAACCACCGGCCAGGGTTGTGGGGAAGAGGCCATTGTCCCCATCAACATGGGGACAAGTTGATTTGGAGGGGGGGGAGCCCCCCTGCCCCAAAGCACCCCCCGATGTTGAGGGCATGTGGCCTGGTATGGTTGGGGGGGGCGCTCGCTCGTCCCCCCCCTTTCCTGACCTTCCGGGGTGCATGCTCGGATAAGGGTCTGGTATGGATTTGGGGGGACCGCACAACGTTTTTTTTTTAATTATTTTTGAATTGCAGACCTTTATTTTTATATTCAGCTGTCAAAATATATATTATTTAGATCTTCGACATATGTAAAACCATTACAGAAATCATTATAAAGGATAAGAAACAAAAATAGAATCACTAGAACCAAGGAAATCAAATTAGAATACATAAAGATATGCCTAGCTACAAATAGTGCTGTTTGTCAAACACAGTAGACGCGATCGATTGCTGTCTTGCAGAGGACTTCACACAGAGATTTACTATTAAACAGTGTCTAAAAAGAAAGTGCCCACGGCAGACGGCTAAATTGTGTCCTGCACATGCTCATTTCTATCCGCGTAGACGTTGGAAAAGCTTCTAGTTCTTGACTGTCTTGAATTCCCTTAAAAAACAATTTTTTACCCATTGAAAATTTTTTTGAAATGTAATATATTGTTTAAAGTGAAGTCCAGATATTTGGGAAAGCAAATTTCAATGTGACCATGTTTCTGCAGTGATTTTTCATTTTGTTAGACGTGCTTCCAGGACATCTGCTTTTTTAGACTGATTCCTGTATTGTGTCAAGTTAGTAAATTCGCTTTTGAGTCTACTTGTTAGACTCTTTAGTAAATGTTTTTGCAGTCTAAAAGTAGGACGGACTCTAATGAAAAGTGGACTTTAGCCCATGGAAATGTGTCTATGCACATTAGTAAATCAGGGCCATAAAGTCCATGTCTCTAATATAAATTTGTGCTTCCTCACTGTGCAGTCCACTGCAGATCAAGCTGTGCCTCCACCACTTAATATCAGAATGCACACTCACCATAAACTGTTGACCCCTATGCTAGAAGGTCAACATGTGCTTATTCACAGGCTTGATCAGTACCAGCAAAGAGCAATCTAGGCATCCAAAGTCTCCAGCCGCAATTGGCAAAGTTCAGGAAGCTCCATTCTCCACTCTATCCCTCTCAACAACAAATCCACATGCACCAGAAAGAGCTCATAGTGTAGTAGGTTTATTCAATGTAAAAACAAACACTGTGTAAAATCACACTTATATTTTACTAGGCCAAATACCGGCACCAATATAAACAGCCTTGTACTGTATTGTTGGTTATGTGTCAAGGTCCTACCTTTTCCCAGAGGTTATGTTACTCCATGTGCTGGCATCCATCTTGGATTTATGCTGAGCATGGTGGGAAGCTTTTATGCCTTCAGGTCTCTGAGGTCCATCCCCCAGAGGGGTGTGGCTGAGTACATATAAGCCTGTGATCCGCACATGCTCTTTGCACTTGTGTCTTGTGTCTTTGTCTTGCTACAGCTCTGTGTATATGCTCGTGACTCTTCTGGTATTTGACTCGGCTTGTGACTAGACCATTCTCTGTGTTTTCCTTTGATCTGACCTTCCGTTGCTGAACCCGGCCCGTGACCTGTGATTCTCTGTCTACTGTTCTGTACTGTTTTGTCCCGTTGTTGTTGACCCAGCTTGCCTGACTACGCTATTGTCATTCTCACCAGCTACACGCCATTGGCGGCGGCCATTACCGCAGCCGGGGTGTCTCGGGGGCCGCGACCTGGTTCCTGGCTGCGTTAAGTCCATCCCCACCATCAGGGGCCCTGGTGAAGGGCAGCCTGGGACTTAGACTCCGCGCCCTGAGGGACTTCGGTCTGTTGGTGGTGGTTGTCGTCAGCCAGTGCGTTACCCTGCCACTAGGCCTACCTGTCCGTTCCACAGCCCTGCCCTGACATTATGTCACACCTCAATGGGAAGAAAAGTAATGGGCACTCTGGGACTAAGTGTACTCATTATATCAGTAGCAGGAATAAGGGGGAGTTAAGCCATTCCTGCCTTTGTCCTTTCCACAGTGGGTATACCCCCTCAGTAGTCACAAGAGACTGGGCTCTGCACCAGGAAGACCACAGCTCTGAACCCATAAAGCACCATGCTAAATGTTGCAATACATATATCACAAACCCCAGCTCATAGGAAAACCTTACAATGGGTGATAAAGGTAAAAGTATGCTGCTGCACACCGATGCAATACACCAATTAATAAAAATAATACATAAACAGCGCAAATCAAAAAACCTCCTCACCAAATAAATAGCATCAATAAACAAAAACAATATATAATTCAAAAAATAAATATATATAATTTATAAAGTGTCCAAGAAAATATATATATTAAATGTGTACAAAAAATATTTAAATAAAAAGCCCTTCTCAAAAAATATAATAAAATCAAAATGTATTTATTTATTTCAGGTACTTATATAGCGCCGTCAATTTACGCAGTGCTTTACATATAAAAAAAAATATGGCTGTGGGGTGGGGGGGGTGGGTTAGTAAGCAAACAAGCGGAGCTTTCATTTTTGGGTTGAACTCCACTTTAACTCAACTTTGAAAGGAGTTTTTCCCAACGTTTGACTAAAAAAAGGTTGAGTGTTTCTCAACCTTTTTTCAGTCAAGGCACCCTTTCAAATTATGGATAGTCCCAAGACACCCCATTCTAAAATGTGAAAAACTATTCCAATAGTTTTATATAATGCAGCAACATCCACACATGTAGGACACCCAACATTAGAGGTGATTTATTCTTCTAAAGCAAATACACTTTTGCACACTGGTACTGAGTAGTATTCCAGTGTTCCTCTTCTCCCTCAGTTTTTCTCCATCACTAAGCTAATGTGACCCCCAGCACTGATGGAGAGGGGCAGGGGTGGGTCAAACTAGGATGCTGTGCAGGCAGCTGACATCCTCGTTATCAACTGATGTCATTGGGTGTGAGGACGCTGGTGGCTAGAAGGTCGTAATAGTGCACAATGAAAACCTGTGACTTTGTGTAACTAGAACTTGTATACTGGCTGACTGTGTAACTGACTTGTATACAAGTTTTGGGCAATTTTTAGACATTTTGCCAAGGCACCCTGGTTGAGAAAGGCTGGCCTAGAGAAGTCA